CAACTATTCAAAACAAGACAAGAGACACTTAACTCATGTTCTTTCTACTATTAAATAAGGCAATAGCAGTGAAACATGCATGATTCGGTTATTAAAGGTACAGGTGTTTAGCAAGCAGCAAAAGTTTCATTTAAAAATAACCACAATTTATTAAGGAAAAAGAAACTGTAGGAATTTTAATTAACATCTTAACTTCACCAACTAACTAATACCGTGCTACCATCAGTTACCATGTTTCAAGCTCGTGCAGTCTTAAAAAAGCACATAAAAGCTTAATAATCACGAGAGCAATTTTCTAGAGCGACCGCAAGCAGTGCAGTTGAAAAAGTGCAGAATTGTCGACTTAACGAGCAGCGTTTGGTGTAAGAACTAGTCTTTCGTGACACGTTATAAATTCTCTAATAATTGCGTTAGTACTTATTTCCGTCTCCTCCGGACTGAAGATTGAGTACTGCAAGCGAAATTTTTATTTTCAATAAACTACTTTTGTGTTATTTGTTGTAGCAAAAATCAATATCGGTATGGATTCAATATTAGTGGATAAAGTTTTTTGCAATAACCAGTGTACTTTTATATCATTCTATGGAACAAAAATCCCTTACTATCTTATTGTTTATAATTCAAACACGACAACAGCTAAGCGATAGTTAATCATTTATAAAACTGGTAAGTATTTCAATATGCTGTGCAAGACCTGCTCTAGACTGAACGTGTTCTGTCTGACCCTGGAGAAAGTACATATAATATACTGAGTTGTTCTGAGAGAGCCTGATCTATGACTGGCTTGAAACAAATACGGTATGAATGAAGTGCCCATGAATATAAGAAATAAAGAATTATATATACGTATTTTTACATTCTAAGAAAAGCAGGACTTAGTCACTTACACCTAATGGATGATCACATTTATTGAAAAATTAAAAATGCTTTTATTGTTTTTATAAAAACGTTGACATGAAATAGGGTTAATGTCTCCTTTTAAGTATAATAATAATTGTGTCAGAAGATCTCGCACCATACTATTTCTGTTGCTACATAAGTAATATTCCGGGGTACTGCAAGGTAGAGGTTTTGGTTCAAACCGGTAACTATATTATGGTTGGACTTCTCGATTTACACACAGCATCAGGCGGGTTTGTGAAATTTCAAGTAATTTTCTGCGCTTTGTTTAAAAAAAATAACTCTGATCCAGTAAGTAACTGAGTACGAAAAAGATAAAGATAATTTAAAATTAAGAAACAACAATGATAGAGACAATATTAAATAAAATTATTTCAAAGATATCTAGCTAGATTGGATCCGAATCAGAGACCTTAACGTTTAAGACGACGCAACTACAGCTGTCGGATATGGAAATCGTAAAAATATATAAACGTCAGTTTACAATTACAAATCTTGCTGTTCAGAAATGTATATTTGAATGCTCAGATTATAATTAAAGTAATTATGATGAATTAAAAGCTGTTAAATGTAATGGGTAACTTTAAATTGTCTATTCATTTTATATGCTTTTCGAATAACTACAATGAAAACTATTTTGATTTAGGTTGTTAATAATCCGACAAGCAAGCTTTCACTCGCCCCACTGGAATTATACTTTTTAAACTAAACATCAAAATTTTGAAACTAATAAATAAAAGTTTCTAGCCTAATCATGCAATTCCTTGGGCCACGTGTTACTTAATACTATCCGAGTTTTTTTATCAAGCCTATCATTCAACAATTGAAAGAATATAAAAAAGTTTCTAAACATAAAACTTTATGATTACTTTGAACACTAAAAAAGTCACGAAATCTGTGACCATAATAATAATAATTTAAAGCGACCATAAAACAATACTTTTGAGAGGAATCGAACGTGCTCGCCTGGTATCGGATAAAAAGGGTGCTCTGAAGAAACGTAACCCGATATGGGGCACGCATTTATCAGTTGCTTTTCACGAGCCAACAGGCCGGATAGTATGACACTATCCCATGGAAGACGAATACGAAGAAAAAGAAGCTCTACGAGTAGAACATAAAGCTAAAGGTGGAACAAAAGCTGTGTACATTTTGAAAGGTATTACATTATACAATAAGAGCTTAGAAACAACACCCGGCGGTTAAATGCGTGAACCAAATCCTTTAGACCCCACTATTGATTATTGAGCTATAATAAACTTTATTGCATTGTAATAAACTATGATATTAGGGACAAAAATTTGTGTCGGACATAGAATTGTGGTGTTTCGAAAGGCGACTACAGCGGGCGGTCCGTATCCGTAGTTGGTGGAAAATATTAATAGTTCGAATTGAACGATTAATTTTCTGGCATAGGGATAACAAAATATTAATTATAATATCGGAAGGTAAACATTTGTAGAGTTAATAAGATTCCATGGAGCGTCGTAATGAGTAATAGATTAATGTTTATATGATGTTTTTGGACATCTTAAAATTGTAAGGTTGAATAATTCAAATGTAAGTAAAAATAGGAATCGGGTGGCTTATCTATCATGAACGCTCGTATGCGTAGTTATGAATAGTTTTGAAACATTGCTTTAAACTTTATGCAATTTTACTGTTTAAACGAAAACTTGTAAAGCCAAAAATTACTGAATTATTCGAGGTTAGGAAACTTTTTGGGAACTTCACAAACTTAGTTAAAGTACTTTTGTAATAAACTTCTATCAATGCGGAGTATGACTTCGTCTTTTTTTGTATTTTTCGTGTTTGTGCTAGGTAGATAATAAATATTATCAATGTTGAATCGAAGTATAATTTCGCATAAATTGCTCGTAATATAGAGAAAGTAGACTTTTTGTCTAAAAATAAACAATATACTGGTATACAAAACATGGAGAAACAAATAGACCAATAGGAATCAATAGAGGGCTACGACCTCCTTAGTCTCATTTTGAGTTTGTTATACAGAAAATTGAAAAATAAGATTGTAATACAAACCATTTCGAAATAATAATAATTATGATCAGTTATAATTAAACTATTTAGAGATTCAACTTTTTTATAAGATTGGCACAAAAACAGTTCCAATCGTAAAAACACACAAAAGAAAAAGAAACAAAGAAAAAATCCATTTGTAGTTTAAAATTAAGATCTTCAATTAAACACTGTTCCATATATGAATTTAGATCATTACATCAAACAATATTGATTCGGTTCCCATGAAGTGAGCTCGTTCTTAATTTGCACGTCAACATATGGATTTAGTTAGTAAAAAGTGTGCCTTATCGTGTGACTGCTGGGGTCGTTTTTGCGGCCGATCATTAGCTAACAGTTGCCGGTTGCGCCTGCACATCGCGTATATCGTAGGACGATGATCCCGGTGCAAAGCATGAGCGAAAATATGATACTAGACGCATGTACGTACTTAAAGAATGTCATAAACTACGTTTTAGTCATTACAAAACTAACTACAGGGGTACAAAATATTTGTTATAATATTGAGCAAATAATTAATCTTGTTAACATTATATTGACATCGTTACGATAACGATTCCAAAGCGTTTTACTTTTAGAGATTAAAACATTGACGAAACCAGAAGAACACAAGACCTCGAAGATTTAAGATTCTACAGCAAATTTACATGTGCCTACCCGGTCATTTGAATAATCCAATTTCGCAGAGCACTCACCAGTCAAGTTTTAATAAAACTAGTCTATACAAATCAGTGGCGGCAATCTTGGCGCCCGTATCATCATGTCATCGCAGATTAAAAATATCCGTTCGATTGAATACTGTATCCGCTACCGTCGATGGCTTGCGTCGAGGTCATCGACACCAGCGTTCTTGTCTAGTAATTTGTAATTAAACTTTGATACACCATGTCTTTAAGGAAAAAATGGATGGACATAACAATATAGATATCATAGCTTAGCCTCGACATGATTGGAATGTAATTACACATTTAACAATTTTGACATGTGTAAAAAACTATTACCTATCTACTTTGATTGATAGCTGGTTCAGATTCGTCCTATGGCTGATGTACTTCATAAGTAGAGTTGTTAATCTAAAAGTTTTTACATTAGTAGTAAAACTGTATAAGGCCTAAACGGAAGATTGAGAAAAACTTATGTATCCTGTTATTTTTTACTGCGAATCCTTTAAAAAACAGGACACCGCATTCAGTCGCATGCGTGCATCCAAGATGGCGTTCGATGCGATATCGTATTACCGAAATCGGGGGCTATTATCTCCGGTGGATAACACAACATACATTAGAACGTAAACTTTAAGAGCCTGCAATAAAGCATAATGTACAATGTGATTTGTGTGACCATGTTTCGGCGGAGGATTTATCCAGCGATCCGTTCCAGGTTTCAATTTTTGAGATTCCTCTTTAATTGGCACTGTTGAATTCATCGGGAGACTTTAATGCATCGAACATAAAGTTTGATATTGCATTTTTGTATGGTACGAACCGCTATCAAATTGTAGCTGTCGAAAGAATATGTGAAGCAACAAATTGGCGAGACATAACAGTACATTCGGCTCGTTTCGCGATCGGCTATAGATCATTACCTTGCATCGCCGAGGGTTTTACTAATTTTGTTAATACATCGATCTCCGTGGTTTGTTTATATAAAGGCAATTGAATTGATGCATTGCAAGATCTCTTTGCATAAATAAGCATATATAATTTTGCAATGCAACATACCGTAAAATGCATAGCGCATGATTATTCATTAATGACGGGATTGGTTAAGTGAAGAAAAGGTAGGTATAGTTTTAGACCGAAAAAATATAGATATCCATACATTACCAAAACCCATGGTATGGACATATTTGCCATTGATAAGTTGGATTTAAATAGAAGACAATGTATTTCGCCCTTTTACACAGAATAGAATTGGTATAAAAATTAGACCTCAAAGTCGCTGCGTTCGGCATTGGTTGGCTTAAAATGCTCCTTCTTATGTTTCTCACGAGCCCAACAAAACATAGAATAAACTTAGAAGCTATACTGTTAGAGTAAAAAAACCAAAAGAAAACTTACCTCAAAGCGCATTCATCGACGTCAGTTTCGCAGAGGGTGCCGGTGAACGTCGGAGGACACTTGCAAGTGTAGCTGTTCAGTCCGTCGACACAAGTGGCGCCGTTCTGACACAAGTGTCCGGGACAGTCGTCGATGTCGATCTCGCAGTTCTGGCCTCGGTATCCTAGGAATAATAAGACAATTAGGAAAAAGGGAACAAGTTAGAAATGAACATCCTTAACAATAACAAACAAGATGATAAAGATCCTGGTAGCTTCTAACATGTATGTACGTATGAACCTTTATGTAATTGATTTTGAATTCATTTTCTATAATAGAAAAAAACTATATTGAACTAATCGTAAATAGCAAATCAATTAAGAACAAAATCTTTAAGCCAACAATCCTGTTGGTTTTATTACTACTTTAATAGAAGAACCTTTAGTTTACTATCCTGCAACACATGTTCTTAGAAAAGTCGTTTAAGCCGCACTTTGATATCCGCATCAATGCTCTCCTTTACAGCGACACGTGGTGCGTATAATGCGAACGTTTATTTTGATACTTAGGCATAAATAAATAAAAGTAATCCAACCGCTCTAATTGAGTGTCGAAACTTCCACGCGCTTGGAGCCACATAAGCTCCACACATATTCGATTAGTAAGCGCGAGGTTTCATTACCAAGTCCAGAGGGCATAGTTCCCACGATCGCCTCAACATGTGCACTGTAACAATGTTTATGATACGAAAACATGTAACGGAGCTACAGTTTTAAATATTTCGTCGCTTACAGTTTTTGCTTGTCTAAATCTTTGGATAAACAGTTTTATTTTGATGAAGCAGCCCCCTGTTTTGCGAAGAGAATGACTCTTGTTTGGAAACCAACGCAGTTACAGCACGTTTATGTAATAAACATTACCTTCATTAAAATTTATATAAAAATGGATTGAATGACTTGGATACAATCCTAGCTATTATCATTACTATATTTTAAAGCAATTCAAAAGACACACTATTGCGATATGAATAAAGTCGAATTTAGAATAACTGATACGTATTTTTTACAATAGAAAAAAATACAACAAATGTTTGTCTATATTTTTTAACATTATGCATGCAATGTACCGTTCTAACCCAATGTTGATGCTAAGAAAATACTTACGAATCCAAATCGACAATAGATTAACATATTATTAGTGTGAGAGCCTCACACATTCCCATAAGTCTCAGAACTCTTAATATGCGGAAGTAATAAGTATTTATTTGGAGACACAACGCACATGTGACCGTAAGTTACACTAAAAATGTGGTTCCGAATTAACTATCAAATAAACTACTAGTTAAACTACTTAATTATTCAACTATAAAAGCGTTTTTAATGTTTTAAAATATCTTTTGAGTTTTGAACCTTAATTAAATGGACTTCATTTTTAACAATAAATATTTTTTTAAATGTTGCTAAATACTCATATTTTTTTAGATTATCCTTATAAGCCTACTTGTAATACTTTATTTAGCTGATGATAATCCTATAGTAAAGAGAAAAGGCCACAATATGCTTATAAATAATGCCTTAAATTAACTAAAGGTAAAGAAACATGGTAACCCAAACAACGCAACTAAATACAAAGGCGATTTACCGTACACCCTAAAAATGGTAATACTTTATCCTAATCTATTACACAAGGGAATTCGATTGCCGTTCAAGTGTTTCACATAGTTCAAACGTCGATAAACAAATGTATCACCATGGGGTGCTAATTAAGTAGTACCTCATTACATTCCCACAGTTTTAAATGACGTCACCACCAGACGCGTCTATTTTGAGTGGTAACACAACGTGTGATGGTATGTCCCCTCCGGCTGAAGCGGTTCTGGGGTCATTTGTCTTAGAAACATATGGGGAGGAAGTTTGATTCGAATAACAATGTCTCCTAGAAGTGTCAATGACTCACACCAAATTTTGTGCCTACTGGGAAACAGAAACACTCGTTAAACATTCTTTATTTACATTTCCTAATCTCATGAGTGAATCAAATTATTAACATTGGATATCAATGCATATTAAACGGAAATTTGAACTTTAAATCGAAATTATGAAACAAAATGTAAATAATATAATATAAGAAATTGAAGATTTGTTAAACTGCTTACAATTTGAAATGTTGACAGTAAATCAAAGAGCCAAACAAAAGAGACAACAGGTAATGGGGATTAAGAGGAAACATGGCTTTTACATAAAAAAAGGAGATTATAATCGCAAAACTAGTATATTTAATGATAAAAAACCACAGAACATAATTGACTCAACATAATCAGAATACTCTCGGTGTGATACCAAAAAGTACAAGGCTCACTAAAGTGCAACAAATCTAAGAGAATAAATAAGTAGTAGCTGTAATGACTAGCCAAAACAGCAAGCTTTCCCAGCACCCGAATGACACATTCATCATTACAATCTTTTGCAACGCGCACTTTTGCAACGCATAATGAATCTAATGAACCCGCGATGCGCCGGCGCACCACATAAAAATGTGACGTAACACCTTTCGTCAGCATCCTCGCGGTTGCTGAGAATTACTTCGCAAATGAATTTGATGTTGGTGTCATTAAGCATAAACGTTGCCTAGATAATAGCTAGTCTTGTAATTTCTTTCAATCTTCGAAATATTACGCAAATACATAATAACCAAAATCTGACATAAGTGGAATAACTATGATGATAGTCATAGAAGTGAAGATTTAAAATGTACTTGCAAACAAGCAAATGAGATAGCACATAAACTATATCATGTCATGTATAACACAGAACAATTTGAATAAAAACTCGGATCTATAAATATCAATGTTAACATTATTTATACCAACCATAGTCAGGCTAAGTGTGGCTTTCGAACTGGTCAGATCGTGGTCGCCCGAGGCAAGAGCCACGGTCGACTTTCAGAGGCATAGATAAAGCAACGTACAGACGCATTCGCATTGGTTCGTTACGAGTCTACACGCTACGGAGATGATAATTGGTTTGAACATAATTCACAGGTTGCAATTTTGAATCATGCTTTCGGCAGATACTTTATTGCGTACGTTTGGTTCGTTAGTGTTACTGGCGTTCGAGAAGCAATGTTGTATCTGCTTCGTCAAGGAACTGGCAACGCAACTGAAAGATTTATTCGCCACATAACTGAATGAGTATGAATATGATTAGGAAAGTACTTAATATTTAAGACAGTTTTTGATTTGTTGAATGCAATAATTCTATGTCATAAAATATTTTGACTTTGACCTCTAGTACAACTGTACTCTATGCCAGAACTTAAGATAGGTACCTATTATCTTGCTGAACTATTAATATGACCTGAATCTGTAAACGTACTCAATAATCCTACCTCCCTAGCTACGAGTACTGTGGTCATGTTCACGATTAGATTGTATTTAATTTAAAAAAGGGCAAATTATTTGTGGAGACAGTTGAATTACCTATTACCGGATCCGGATCTTGTTCGGAAATTAGGTCCTCGTCAATTTCCATACTCACTAGATGATAATAAAATCTGTACTAAAATACAAGTAACTAAAGTTGTTCAAAATAATCTAAATCTGAATCACCATTATGAGCTATTGCTATGTGGCCATTCAAATAGACAACTTAATTAGTAAAGATCCCTCTGAAATTGTATTTCTTCTTGAGGTACCGTAGATCTCGTCTAAATTTCTGAAATTCTATAAAGGTCCGTTGGGTTAAGCACTCGTATAAACAGCTCGAGTCGTGCCTTGAATGTTATGTATCGAAACATAATACAGTCGTTAAACATCCGCTTGTGTATTTTCAACTAGAGAAGTGGAAACTGCGGCGACAACCTAAAACATCTTATTTGTTACTGCAACTTTTACATCACGCAAAACTAATGAACACTCAAGTAAATAAACTGTATGACAACAACTGTATAACTGTAGAGGTAAAGATAAATTTACGTCGCAAATGTTACCATTTATTCCGAAATTATTAGTGAACCTTTTGAGATAGCATCGAGTCGAACTTAAAGGCCAGTGTTTGGCGCAGAATTGCTGTTAGTTGGGTTGGCCAATAGTCAATGACAGTTTTAGATATTACTGAACCTTAGAATTTAACCTAGTATTATAAGTTTCACGTTAATAAATTTCTAAATAGATTACTTTGTATGGTTGATATCTTAAATTTTTCCGCTTTACGAACGTAAAACAAAACCAGTTACAGGTTTAGAATTATGTACACGAGTTTAAAAATTTATTTTTGAAATATCTACTTATATATCTACTGTACTATGCTACTTTAAAAAAAATACAAATGTAACTTCCATAAAGGCCTGTCCTACATCATAATTCATACAAAATAATGAAAAAAATCGCGTGTTATGTATCAATAAAGAAATCGCAATACATCACTTGGTGTCGATATGAAAAACTGCCTGCAAATGCCCACAGTGCATAATTCTAATACTAAAAAAATATATAACTATTAAGAGAATTCCTTGCTCGCAGGTAAGTAAATAATGTCTAAGAGCACATGTAAGGTACATGCTGCGTTTACCCAATAAAGATATCTGTAATTGCATGACGTACCAGTAACTTCGAGTAAGCAAAAAAGGAGTCAAGACGCTTAATAAATCATCAATGTATATGGAAACATGTCCATGTTAAGATTTTTATTAGAGGATTTGAATCCATGTCAGCATCCGCTTTATATAAAAACTGTTATCAGAATTTTGCTATTGCACAGTGGATTCTGGCATGAATCTCTAAACCTAGACTTTAATTTGATAACACTGTATTCTAGTCACGCTCTATACAGGATGAGAAGGAGAGACAGTTGCCAAATTTAGTTTTAAGTTTAGAGGATCGCATCAGAATTATTTCCAGTATCTGCATTTTAAGTCCATAATTAAATAACCATAGTTAAGAAGATAAAATTGAAACTGAAAATGAGAAATGAAAGATTTGAAAATGAAATAAAAAAAAGATAACAATTATATTTTCTGTGAAAACGCACGATTTTTCGGTTGACAAAACTCGTTTATTTTACGATTTCCAAAAAAGTCTTTGACTTTTCCAAAATATTTTTTACATCTTAAAGCCCTTCAAATAAGGCGTCCTCATAAGTCCTCGTGGCCCTAAACCTCGGGATATCACGGGCGAGTCGCACTTTCAGTGAAAACGGGGGCGAACGAAAAAACATTTTCAATGTTAAAAATATTTAAATAATACTTACCACTAGGACAATCGCATTCGTATCGGAGCTGGTCCAGAGGGGTACATCTTCCACCATGGAGACAGGGTGACGGTTCGCATGGGACATATTCCGCATCACAGTCCCTCCCTGTGTACCCCGGCTCACACACGCAAGTGTATGAGCCATGAGTATTAAAACATCTGCCGTGATGACATGGCCCCGATCCACTCGAGCACTCCACTACGTCTTCAGTACATCGGGAGCCGGTGAAACCAGGTGGACAGACGCAGGAGTACCCAGCCGTCGTTGTATTGTCTGCCACGCAACGTCCTCCATTGCGACACGGTTGGGAGGCGCAATGATCTTCGTGCGAGCATTCAGGACCTGAAAAAGAAATATACACTTAGTGCTGTTCTCAAATATTACGAGTTCTAGAATTAAAGACACATTGCTAGTATGACATTTACTAGACTTCGTGAGCCATAAATCTAGATTTATGTACTATATAAATAGAATACGAAATAAAGTTTTTAAAAAGAGTAACATTTTAATATATTAGACAAAATAATTAATATGATATATCACAGTTCTAATTATAGTACCGCTCACTACCGCGTTAACAAAATAGCCATCAACGAAAGTACAGTAATAAAGATCTCCATTTACATAACAGGTGTGAAATTAAAGAATAAAAACTCTAATTTGCTCATGAATTCAACTTAATTAATGGTCCTTTGGAGATTTTTAATTTTTCTTAAAGCAGTGAACTCGTTTATATGAGAAGTCGAGCCGAATATCGAAATGTAGTTCGTCTCGCAAGTCAAAATTTATAAAAGCAGTAACATAGGATTAAGATCATTTTTTAAAAATTATTTGACGTGTTAACGATAAAATTAAAAATGTGTTAATATTGTAAAAGAATGTTAGGATTACTTGAAATAGCATTTTAATAATTAAAACGACACTCTTCGTCAATACACGTCTATTTATAACTATATAATATAATATAAAAAGAAATATTTAAATTTTCTGCAAAACTCGCGAGATCGCATATTATATGAATTCAATTTATTTAGAAACTAATTTTATGAGAATCTTCCAAACTTAAAGTTCTAAATAAAATATATGTGTTAATGATAGACAAAATACCTTAGCAATTTAAGCGGACGGCTGACTAATCGACATGAGCTAATGCCGAGTAAAGAATTCACAATGATTGGCCAGAATAAGCTCAATTGATGTTATAGTCGCCATTTCAATCTTTGTACAGAGAAGAAGTCGAAAATATTATACGATTCCATATCATGATATGTGAATAGAATCAACTTGATTTGATTTCAGCTGCTTATCATTTACGTCCAGTATTTACTTTTTTACTACACTTTACTATTAACTTTATCAAGAACAGTATTTTCAAACGTTTCATCGAAAGCTAGAACAGCTCACAATTGGTATGATAGATAATTTTTACATTCCTTAACTACATTCACAGACAGGTCAATTTGCAGAATTACACAGTTCTGGTGTCGAATTAAACGTATTACGCATGTTAACTGTGCATCGCGTTGTTCAGGAAACACAAATTACTGGACTTTCTACCGGCTTTCACTAAAGACGGTTGCGTAGATAATGTGACGCTGATAATGGGTAACAATCCTTGAAATCTACTCGAGACCACCGGTAATTATCAAAGCAACGGCCGGCACTTTTTCCTAGTTACAAGAAACAGTACGTGTGAAAATAAATTGGCAAGCAGCTACCGTGTTAATGAGAGAAGGCATTTTAAGCATTAGTATTGTATTTATAACCGCACAGACCAAAGCCTTACTGATAATAAAAACAAATCTAACACTATTTATGGGTCAGAACTGAAAATCAGCGATTTACTCTCTGAGTAAATGTAATACTGAGTTTTCGCCCTTTCGCATCGCGTATATATATAATTTGTTGCATGTTTTAAAGGATTTATATAATTGTAAAATTTGTCTTTAATTTTGTATGTGTGCATGTTGGTGCGAATAAAGTTTTATCTATCTATCTATTTGTTTCTTAGGTTTTCGCCCTCATCACTTAATTAATGAAACAAGTTCAACGGATTACGGATACTGATTTTATTTTATTGCCGTTTCGCATCTTTTTGCAGATATTTGGACGACGCATTCCTGCAAACGTCAATAAATAAATAAAATCAGTGCATCTAGCCCGCTGAAACTTGTTTTATTTAAATCTAACACTTCAATACAAAAGCTTCCTTGTTAAGAATGCTCGGTAGATAAAGAGCCAAATAAACAATTAAAGAATCAGTCTTAGACAGCCACAAAATTTTATTTGACCAAACGCCTTGTTCGAGCTTGAGATGTTCGGAGTGCGCAACAAACGCAATAACTTGTGCAACTTTATGCCGCCTAGCTTCCGTTGATTACGCTGAGCGCATGTTCAAAGCAATCACCTTTTTATTATGATCATTATCCTGATTGGATCTTTAAACTGCTTAATGTAAGGGTAGTAAATATGTGAAAGAAAAATCTTCGTTTTATCTAGCTTATTTTTATGACTTTTAAATCTCTTTATTCATCACAAATAGGATGATATAATACAAAATAAACATGTGAAAATAGTACAGGGAAGTTCTGAAAAGTTGGAACAACTACAAAGTACGAAAATTTACAAAGTTCTCTTGTATCTTTAATATAATAAAATACTTATGTAATTTAGTTTCACCGATTTTATAAGTTTCTCTAAAGATTTTTCTCATAAACCTGGCACAGATTCCTCAATAATTGTTTTCCACTGATTACGACTCGCTAAATACTGTCACTCATGGTATAAAACGATTAAAGAATTCTCATACACTCGAACAAAAAATTGAAAGCTGTTTCTCTTAATTGTACAACTAGACAAAACCAGTCGACGTGTGTTCTGTAATTGTACTGGAATAAAAAAAATGAAATGATCTCGACTTTATTCTTGAGATTTAAGCAACAAATTATCGTAAGGCTGTGTAACGGAAATGAGAGGAAGTGTTCGTTGTGACTTTCCAAATTTATTACTTCTGTTTCTTCGTACATTCGTCGACACGCTTAGATTGGTCACTTTATTTGGGAACTAGTTTATTTATATTACTTCCTGAGTCTTGTGTTACTTTTTCTTAGAAGTTTCGCTATCTATTGACCTCCTTATTATGTTATATATAATCTAATAAATTAAATACTTAATTATGTACAATTGCTCATTGCAAGTAATTACATAACTCTGAGACAATATAATAACTTAAAGCATTATATCAATAATTCCTTGAACACCTGTTAATATTTCACACTATTATATTCTATTCATAGCCAACAGAATGTGTCAGACACTCTGACAGACAACCGTATTAACCATTGTAATGAATTCAAGTATTACAATAACATTTATAGCAAGAATTCTATTACTTATGCTGCATAGCTTTTGCTACATATTAACATAAGTCATTGTTAAGTTTCAATTACTACATTATGCTATCCTATTGAGCGCAATATAATTTTTAAAGTTTACTCGAGGCCATAATTTTAAAATGCATTATTATTTTAAACTTTACCATATAGTTTCAAGATTTTAGAGCATTTGACCACCGTCTCGCTTAATGTTAACTAGAAACGACTGCATAAGTAATGCTTAAACACCCAAAATTTAGAGCTTATATGTATAGGGGAATAATGGGTAAGAAGAGTAATCTATTCAATGATTTAATCGAACTAACCTGTGTATCCAGGTGGACAGTCACACTCGTACGTAGACAAGGACGTAAGCCTGCAGGTAGCTCCATTGAGACAAGGCGCGGAATCACAGGCGGTCGGGACCCTGATCTCGCACAGAGACGCGCTGAAGCCCAGAGGACAGTCGCAGGCGAAGGATGGTGGCGCGCCGCTGATGCCAGGCCGGACCCTACAGGAGCCCCCGTTCTGGCATCGTGGACTCGACTCGCTGTGGCACGGGTTGAGATGCTGGCAGAATTCTCCGGCAAAGCGAGACGTGCAGCTGAAACAAATGAAAACAGGTCAGTTTAATTTAGGAATCAAACTATAAGAAAACGACAACACAACAAATATCTAATTTGAAAGGTAATGGTCGCCTGAGTTTTTCTAATTAAAAAGTAGGTCACAAGTCTAGTTGATATTTAAAAAAGTATATGTAGGAAATATCAAATATACAAAAACTGTAACAACAATAATAAAAAGAGACGTAAAGTATAAACAAAGTACACTGTAGATACCACAAAAACAAATCTAAATACTATTTTATTTCATGACGTTATACTAGAAGAAAATCAAATCCTACTGGTTTGCCCAAGCTTATTACAAAAAACCAATAACGCTGCTCTCAAATAAAAGATTTGTTTGATTACAAAATTCTTTTAAATATTATAATCCTTATTAAATATTCGGATCCCCGTAGGAGGTCCAATGAATACCGGATGACTGGGCACTTAAATACCATATACACAACACAATAAACCCTTTCAAGCGTGCGTGCTGTTTTTAAACAATACCTACCTATGAACCCTTTGGAAAGATTTTAATTTCATGGAATGTATTGTACTGTGTTTCTGAAATTCTGAAGGAATCCGAAATTGGGTACCGTTTCGTACGGATTTTGCGATATCAAAGAATATATAATGGAAAAAAGTATTAAAGATATTTAGGTATACACGATTATATTTTTCTAAAATTCTAATGTTAAGAAACGATTGTTTTATGTTCGTTCAATTAACAGTTTATTGTCCAATTCGTTCTCTATTTGAAGAAATAAACATTAAAAAATATAGGGTTGAAATTTTTGCTACTCAAAGTATTTACACCATTGCTTTGCTACCTTAACAATGTACCTATATCCAAGTATATCCTATAATCGCATCGCGCCTTGTGCATGGTCGTGCGAGTGCGCCGGACGTCGCCAATAAATAACGCAGATACGTCGCGACACGACCACGTGACGCGCGCGCCGCGTCTTGTAACCTTTGTTTGTCTATAACTAGCTACAATTTGTGTGCATTAGAAGGAATATTTAAAAAATCATCATTCTATTTACAGCGTGCCTTAAAAATCAAATCTTTGTTAAGCATGTATGTTTACGATTAATTAAATTTAGAAAGCTTTTTAAAATTTCGTAACTTCTCCGATTTCAAAGTAACGATCTCATCATATCGATTTTATATGACACCGAGTGTATTCTATGTCGGTAAACAACTTTAAATAGCTACAAGGATCAAGTAGCCATCATTTGTAAAATTACCTCTATGATATGTAAGAAAATTGGATCGCATTGGTTAGCTGTTACTCGGGCTTAGTTCATCACAGCAAATGACTAACACAAGGTGTATAAACGCATCACATCATAAGCCTGCCATCGCCAGAAGAATTTGAATAGCAATCTAAACACCTCTAACATCCATAGACTACTAATCATTGCATCTATCCCGAATCAAAACGAACCACCCACGTCTATGGTAATGCCCAAACTAAATGAAGTCAATCTCATTTATCGTAGTCAATAGCACTCTAGGTGTTTGTGGGAAAATAATGCAATCAGTGTTGTTTATTCATGAAGGTAAATGAAGACCTTAGCTTTCTTAATCACACTATTTATGTTTTTGTTTATTTTAAACAACGTTTAATTTAATCCATTCGCTACCTAATGATAATAATTTCGTCATACCAAAAGTGAAATGTGTTAAATTCCCAGCGTATTTTAATTCCCTCTTCAACTCGGCAAATCTGATTCAACGCCACTTAATATTCCCTCTTGAATCCCCTATTGGCAAATAGGGAATGCATTCCTCATGGAACAGTATCCATCCGACATTCAACTTGAAGCTATCTGTGTGTTCCCGAATAGTGTGGGCGGCCTCACGAAGCCTGTTCCGTGTTAAAACCCACGCACTGACCTCACCGACAGGAAAGGGTAGTTGCACCTTACTTTATGTGGATGATATTGCGACATGTGGGCGGAACTCCGAATACAATAAAAAAAATGTTTAATGCACAAACCTCATTTTCTGATTTCTGAGAGATATTCAAACACATTACTTCGAATTTATAACAGGTTGATAAAACTCCAAAGCTCATCTACACGATTCATAATAAAATCACATCCGTGGTGGATTAACTTTGCTATATTTCTGTAAATAGACTTTGAATTAATGTCACAAGTAATCTTCTTCCGAGATTAAATTACGTGTACAGTAAAAAAGATAAGAGATTCTCGTCGCTAAGTAGTTATCCGCGACATGCTAGCAGCAAAACGACAACATTGCAAAAAGATGACGTCGCTACCTGCGCCACCGCAGATTATCTTTCAAAATTATAAGGCGTCGCCATGAGGCCTTTGTTCCACGATTTATAACAGTTTGGAACCAGCTAAATCTTCATTATAGTAGCTACAATAAATTACTATCGAACGTATCGTAGATCTAATTACGGCGTTGAAAGAAAAGCATTTTCTTCCTTCAGGTGCAGAAGCTCCTTGTTCTAAGTTGTTCCAAAGATTTATGGTCTCGCTCTCTACAAGTATTTCGTTTAATGATTATTATCTTCGACCTATTAATTATCAAGAACTAGACGGTGCAGTGTTTAGTGCATTTAGTTTGCTTTTTTCTAAGTTAAGTAACATTACCAATTGCCGGCCATAGGATAGGTGATATGGTGATAATAATGATAAATTGAAACCATGTATTGCTGCTATTTAATGGAAATGAAATACATAGTTGAATAATGCTTGTGTAACAAACCCTTGTAAATATGTCAGTCTCAACCTTCAAAGAAAAGACAGAACTTTCAAAATATTTATAAAAATGTAAACAATGCAAGGTAGGTAGGATACTGTAGGGTTCTCCAGAAGGGAGAACCTGGGGAACGTAGCTCAAATATACAGACATAAAATAAACACAGAACTTGGTTTATTTCAATTAAGGAAAATATAATTAAAATACAATTAAATATAATCAACCGATCGACTCTGTGCTTAAATTTGATCTTTAGGATCTTCGATGTGTGACAGAAGGTTCTCACATTTGAATCTTTAAATTAATAAATTTTACTTTTAATGCAACTGCCAGCCGTAAACATTACATAAGCAAAAAGTTTATACAAGCAAGGAGGCCGTAACGTTACGGGCGTTACAGTACTTTATGTTATATTGGAGGTACTACCGATATATATTTTTATCTACAATATCGTTTCATGCGATTATAGCGGGGATCCGTTTTATCAGTTAGTGCAAGCTTTTGATGGGAACAAAGGCGCCATACTTTTTGTTTTTTTAAGGTTTCCCAAAATTTTACATTTAAACATTCAATTCACCCATTTTACCAAGGTTTTTTTCTGGGTCGCTAAAGCAATGATTACAGAATTCTAATTTTACATCTATGAATATAAGATAGAAGTAAAAAAGCAGCAGCAATATTTGTGTTTAAAGTAAGATTATAATTTATCTTCATTTATTAAGCTGCTCCGTAACGTACCTTACATAAAAAAGATGATAAGCTATAGTATAAAAGATGACCATTCGCATCAAAAAAGGATAAATGTCACAATGTTAGTTACCATACTCCTCCAAAACGGCCTGACCGATTTTTATAAAATTTTATATGCATATGCCGTGGGTCTGAGAATCGGCTACTATCTATTTTTCATATCCTTAATTGATAATGGTTGACCACCTATAACGTAGTGTTCTTAAACCTCAGAGCATATATCACGGTATATAATCCATATCATGGTATATGCTCTAAGTCTGAAACCTACAATGCGCGCGCCAAAATTCAAACTATTGGGTATTGTAACGTAGTGTTCTCATATGGGTTAGGAGGAATATTATCCCAGGAAATTGATAGAACACTCCGTTACACACCGCTAAAATATTTTTTGGACAAATTATTTTTTTTATAATATGGTATTAAAAATACATAAAACCCTAAATTTTCTCTTCTACCTCCTGCCCCTATTTTTATGGCGGTACGAAGTTCGTTGGGTCAGCTAGTAATAATATATAAATCCTGAAATGCTATGAAAGATAGTCTGCAAAGCGCGTCACATGAGACATGAGACGACAAACATTCGCCGCGTCGCGTCGCGTGGTTGGTTCGTGGAAGCGCGCATGTCGCGGTTATCTGATGCGCGCTGACAGGCTGCGTGTGCGCACTATGCGCATGCACTCGTAGTTGTATCGCACTTGTGAATCTTCAGTACCAGGGGGCTTAGTATTAAAATTAGAATATTCATCAAACATTTTAGTTAAGTATACTATTTACTGGAATATAGTATTGTATAAGAACAAGCCAACTTCTTGAAATTTATGATAAAAAGTTAGGAAAAAATATCAAGTAAAACTAATATAAATAAAGTATTATCTCAAACTATAAATTATTATTTGACGCAATGACAACACATAAAAGTGAAATAGTGATGGAAGCATTTAGAACAACCCTAATTTGGTATTTTCTATAGCCAGTTTGATTGTTTCTAAGTTATATGAACAGAACTTTTTTAAACTTAAAACTTACTAAAAAAATCTTACAATAAAATACACACATCAAAAGTGTCTAGGGATCAAGCATTTTTATGCGGATTTCTTGAGATTGAGATGTGGCTTTGTAATAAATTTATGATTTTATAAATTTATATGGATCCTTTTTGGTGCATTTCATAATTTGAATCAGGAACTGTGAATCAAATTCGAGTAAAAGATGAAAATCAGCTGTCAATATTTTCCCTATAAAAACATACAACGCATTGAAGACATTATTAGTGCTACTGTTTCCCTACTACTGATTAAAACCAACGTTATTATGGAGCGGCGACGTCATTTAAGCAGGGAAGAAATGCTCAGAGCCGTGGGAATGATAGAAGCTGGTTCCCGGCAACGTACTGTGGCTTTAGCTCTGAATACAAGTCAGAGTGTTATCAGTCGACTTTGGACACGATACCGAAGCACTGGTACCGTGGCTGAGCGCCATGGAGGACGGTATCGCTGCACCACAC